ACGTGGCCACCCAACTATCGCCCTGCCACATCATCCTAACTCGGCCGAATCGGCATAGCTTGGCCACGTCGAGCTAGCTCGACCAAGCTACGCTATTACTGTGGAACCCCATCTTATCCTTCCAGCCACGTCGACTACACGTCACATGGATGAGCACAACTAGGGGTAATGAGGAGTAAGGAAGATGACTCCGTTGGGGAATGAGACTCTATCCCGAATACCTCAGCGACTAACTTCATTCCAACAACCCCGGAAGCCCAATCCGACCAGGACATGGATCTTCGGCTATAAAAAGGTACTCCATGCTCGAGGTAAGGCATCCAAGTTCTGAGATCTACATTGCTACTTAGCTCAAACCAGAATCCTTATAGCTCTACCCGACCATCCTATCACCTCCTACTGATTTGAGCGTTGGAGTTCTTATCCGGGGATAATTCCTCGGGCCTCTGACTTCTATTTCCTTGATCACATGTCTTTAAGCGCGGCCTCACCCTTGTAGCTCGGCCCCGCCCTGCCAGCAAGGACTATCTAATTGCCCTCCTCGATTCATGCACCACCTCAGATTGAACAACATCAGCATTGGTGATGATTTCCCAGAAATTGGCACCACATAGGATCCTCATCAAAATCTGAAGAATCAATGATTTTTTCTTGTTTGATTGGCTGATTATGCTGATTTTTGCTAAATCAGCCAAAATTTGATTATTGAAATCAACACTTTTCAGGGATCACTTTTTCTAGTGATTTTTTTATTTTTAACTGATTCCAATTTTTTTAGGATGACATGGCATCCCACATGGCATTGAATAATAACTCTAATACAAAAATAATCGGCTCTTGAAAATCAGTACCACACAAATTCAAGGCCGATTTCTCAAAAATCAGTTTACATGGCATAAATGATACCAAACAACAATTTTTGACCATTTTTCAAAAATCACTAATTCCAAAAATCACCAATTTCTGGATAATCAACAAGGAGAAATCATCATTGACGCCAAACGTCACTTAAAGGATCTATACTTAATGGACATCTATCATTTTTCCTACTAAAAGAATAACAACATAATAGATGCAAATCAAAGGAAAATTTATTAAAAGAAAAAAAGACAAAGTATGATACAATCCATATTGCCATGCATAAGAGCTCCAAGGTCCTTAGGAAAACAACGAAAAACCTTCAAACCCTCTGGTAACCTTTCCTCTTCTCCCACTCCCTCTGCCCCAAACCGCCTTTAGGCCTCTAAGATTTGCCTTTACTAACATATATACACGTAGAAATCAACGCGTCTTCGTAATTTTCTACTACTGGAAAGGCCACCAAACCTGAATTCCTCACTACAAGTCTTCTTTTCTCTTGCGCCTTTTCACCTTTTGTCTTGAACCTTCTACAAGCCTCCCTAGCGAAATTTTACCCTCCCCAAAAACATAGGCCCAAAGACTTTTGGGGGGTCGTAGCCAGCTTCAAACAGTCCCAAATTGTTGACACCAGGACTAAACACCCGTCAAACCCTGGGCTTCCATTCTTCTCAATCTCTGTTGCCACCAAACATGGGCCCAAGAGCTCTTTCCTCCTGTTCTCACTCTCAACTTCTTGAGGCCCAACCAGACCTACATAATTAGACCCGACCACCTTAGAAAAAAAGTAGCCCATGGGCCCACGAGATTGGCCCGCCTCCACTTTTGAATTGAGTTTCCCAGTTCATATTCTTACCCAACATCTTAGTGTTCCACAAGAAGAACACTTACAGGCTGCCAAGCGAGTTATTTGTTATATCACAGCTAAACCAAGTCAAGGTACGTTTCTTCTTCCCAACATCCAATGGTCTAACTTTGTGGGTCTACTGTAACTCTAATTGGGCCTTATGTCCTACTACCTGGAAATCTACAACCGGTTACATCACTATGCTTGGAGTTGCTCCTTGTCATGGGAAAAAAAAAAGAAAAAAGACTATTGTGGCACGGTCTTCTGTTGAAGCTGAATATCACGTTATGGTCACCGCAGCTTGCGAGATTTTATGGCTTTGACATGTTCTTCGAAACCTTAATCTATCCATTTCTGCTTCAATGACACTCTATTGTGACAGTCAGGTTGCTATCAACATCGCCACATATCTTATCTTTCATGAATGAATAAAACACATCGATATTAATTGTCATTTTGTCCGAGAACATGTTCTATCCAAGGCACTTCAGCTTCATCACATATCCACGTCTTCTTAGCCTGCCGATCTGCTCACCAAAGCCTTAAGCGCTGACCGATTTGATTATTCAATGAATCGTGTTATTTCATTATTCTTGACACAGAATTTGTTATCCACATCAGCAAGGTCAGTTATAACCATACATAAGTCATAGATACATTTATTAGTTAACATTTTACAAAAGATGGTTAACTAGAATTTGGCCTTGGAAGAACAGGACTCTTTACGGTCTACCTGTGTCTAGGGCCTTTGGACTTGCCACACGTTCCATAGATTTAAACCCATCGTTGAATTGATGAGACCAGTTTAAAACACTACATGGTGGAACCATTCAATAATGGACTTGATCCCTTTGACATGAGGCAAGTTACAAAGGCTCTAGCAGTCAAAATCTAGAGACCCCTCAATAAATGTGTACAATCCATGACTCCAATGTTTGAAATAAAAACAAAACATCACATAAACTGACTGGTGTGTTTGGTTTAAACACTTGCATGATCATATGTGAAAAAATTTTTTGCTTAGGCTTAATTTGAAAAGAATACAAATACAAATACGTACAGTATAAAATACATACAAAATACAAGGTTTTACGTTCTATATATTTGTATTTGTAATCCTTTCAAACTAAGCCTTAAGGCCATACGTCATTGTTTTTGAAAAGTTTTGTACTTTGATATTAAGGGGATGTTTGGTTCCGTGGGTGTTTATTAAAAAGTGCTATCACATCAATGCCACATGGGTGTTTGTGTTTATTGAGCATGAAATCACTGTTTGGTTTCCCTTTTTATCAAATAAACACTAAAAAGCATAAAGATATGAGGCATTTGGGGAAACATTAATTTCTTGTTTCTCCCAACACTTAGGTATTTCTTGAAATAAAATACTTATGTGTCATACCTTATAAAGTGTCAATCTGATGTGGAAAATTAAAAAACGTTTAAAATTATGCTCAACCAAACAATAAAAGTAAGAAACATTTAGACTCAATTTAGAAGGATTACGAATACAAATATATTCAGTATAAATACATACAAAATACAAGATTTTATAGTACAAATATATACAAAATACAAGATTTTACACTCTACATATTTGTATTTGTACTCCTTCCAAACTAAGGTTTAAAGTAAACGTTTAAAACAATAAGCACCCAAGAATAAACGCCCATGAAACCAAAATATACTAATAGTGGCTTTAATTAACATCCACTGTGAATGGAACCGTTTCCTCTTTTATAATAGGAGTGGAAGTGTGCTCACACGAGGTTTTGACGGAGTTCTCTCTATCCATCCTCACTGGACTAATATTTCTGTTGGGGTTGTTCCGTGCCTGGGCTAATTGAGGAACTCAGGAAGTTGAAGAATTAATTCTATGTGCCGATTTCACAGCTTTCAGCAGGATTCGATTCCATATTTGTGGTGGGGGTGTATTTGGACGAGTTTCCACATTCCAGGTGATCCATCCCAAGAAGAATAAAAAAGAGGGGACGGCTTTGGATATTAAAGCTACAAACCTCAACTGAAATTACAGAAAAAAGAATAAAAAAAAAAAATAGAAGCAAGGACTCAAGGAGGCGTGACATATCATGTAAGAATGTAAAAGGCAAAACCCAAGCTAATTGTGCACGTAGATTCGTTTAAGCAAACTTTGCATTTAGAATTGGTCAATATAAAATAGATTCGTATGCATCGTGACCAAACAAGATAATGCAAATAAACCGAAYGAGGAAATTAGGGTTTATTTTATCACTTCTTGAATGTAAACTCCAATAAGAAACTGTCAGATAAGATAAAAAGAGKAAAAGGATACAAGCAAGGAGGTGTGGCCTCGCTCGTCTTCCTTTTTTTTTAAAAGATGCAAAAGCTTTTTCTTTAATAATAAATTTTGTTTAGTACTGTTCACATATGATGTAGGAGACCTTGCGTTCGGTTCTTCGGTCCAAATCAAAAGTCAACAAAATGTTAATAGCCGAAAAAATGTCAGAAACTTACCTTCTGACTGAGCCTTGTTCCGTTGGAACCTGATTTCTCATTTTAATTTGCTCAGTGTTATGAACAATAATCATATTTCTCATTTTAAACAGTTGTTTTAGCATTTGTGTTGCATTTGATGATAAGAGCATCAAGCAAAACCCAAGCGAATTTGCACATGAAATTAAAGTTATTATTTCAACCACTTTTGCACCCAAAATGGAAGCAAACTTTGCAAATAGACTGGTTCTAGAATATGGAGAAAATTAATTCAGCCAATCAAAGTCAATATATATCATCAATCATCATGCGTTAATAGAATATGGAGAAAATTAAAGGACCCTTGGATGTGGACTCCAAGAACTGTTTTAAATTGTACTTTTTTTGCACCCAAAAAAAGTCAGATGTAGAGAGTATTCACTATATAATCACTAGCATTGTTATCTTGCGTTGTGGTTCGATCTACGGCCCAGATCAACTAGTTAACATATCATAGGTGTAATTGATAGGTTCGATTTTTATGGGTATAAGTGCAAAACCCAAGCTAATTAATTAATTTGCACATGGGTTCGGTTTAATTTATAGGTGTTTGACAATTTTTCAACCGCTTTTACATTCCAAGTGGTGGCAAGTTTTACATAAACTTTTGCATTATTAGAATCAGTCAAGGTGAACTCATCAAGAACTGTTTTGTATAAGTTGGTTTTGATTTATATTTGCAACTATCAGATAAAATATTTGAATAAGGTTTTTGAAATATTAGTTCTTGAATGTCTATAAATATATGGACCTAGAGCTAGTTGAGCTTGTCGCCACCTTCAAATATTAGTTCTTGAAATCAACCTCATCTCTTAATATTAAGGAGAAGACATGGCTTCCAAACTTCYTACATTTTCAATCCTTTGGCTTCCAGTGTTGCTTGACTTGCTTCTTCTCTGCTCAACATTTGCCTCCGCAACACCTCTGAATATGCCGAGGCTCGGTGTCATTCCAGACACCGAGGTGTGGAGGCTCAGAGCTGCCCAATCTTCCATTTCGTCAGATTTCAAAACCTATTTCTATACACAGACGCTAGACCACTTCAACTACAGGCCGGAAAGTTACACCACCTTTCAACAGAGATACGTGATTAATTTTAAGTACTGGGGCGGTGCCAAGTCCGGCGCTCCGATCCTTGTTTACCTCGGGGCGGAACAGTCTTTGGATAACATCAACTTTGACGGTTTCCTAACTGATCATGCTCCTCAATTCAATGCTCTTATAGTATACATAGAGGTAAGATTATTATTAAATTACTGAGAGAGCATTAATTATTAATTTTTCTGAGAATCTCAGCTGACAGATTAGTGTTGTGTTGTTCATTTATAGCACCGCTACTATGGAGAATCAGTCCCATTTGGCAAGGTTCAAAATGCTAGCACACTTGGGTACTTCAGCTCGTCTCAAGCTCTGGAAGATTATGCTGAAATTATCTTAGATATAAAGAAAAACTTATCTGCAAATGGTTGTCCTGTGATTGTTATTGGAGGATCTTATGGTGGAAGTAAGTACTTAACAAACAAACCCCTTAAAAATGAACTGCTTATATCGATATCACCACAGAGCAGGACTCTTCAATTTATTGTTAATTTGATAAGTTTTTGCTTTTCATCATCAGTGCTTGCTTCATGGTTTCGCCTCAAGTATCCTCACATAGCCCTCGGCGCCCTTGCATCATCTGCTCCAATTCTTTACTTCGACGATATCACACCGGATGATGGATTCCTTTCTGTGGCTTCCAGGGTTTTTAAAGTAAGCTAAAAACGATCGAAGAAAAGAAAGAAAAAAAATGATTGCATGTATTCAATTCGTTCTCATTCATTCAATTCGTTCAAATTCTAAACAAGATTTAGCTTTGACGTACATGTGGGTTGTGTAGAAAACTAGCAAGAGCTGCTACAATACCATACTGCAATCGTGGGCTGAAATTGATAAGGTGGCTTCTTCTCAACCTCAAGGTCAAGGTCTTTCGATACTACACAATAGATTCAAGACTTGTGGCGTGTAAGTCATAGCAAAGCTAGACCGGCGAATAATAATGTAACTCTATCTCTGCTTCATCTTAATTAGTTTTAATTCAACATTCTAACTAGATCTTTTTGTTGTGTGTTAATTTCTTCATTAATTAATTAGCTCGTTTACCAACCTTTCGGAGCTCAAGGGATACTTAACATACAGTATATATGCAAGAGCAGCCCAATATGATTATCCTCGAAGATCCGTTGATTTGATATGCAAAGCCATTGATGGAACACCCAAAGCAGGAACGACGGATATTGTTGGCAAGATCATTGCAGGTGTGTCTGCTTATAAGGGGAACGTCTCAAGCAAAAGCAATGTTCCAAGTGCACTAGCACCTGGAAACGTACAACTTAATGAAAACACTGCGTGGAATTGGCAGGTGATCAATATCAGTGCATGTCTTCATCAGTTTTCTAAATAATACTTGGTTTCATCACTAAAAAAGATATATAGTATTTGATTTGAATGTTCTAATAATACGTCCCTTTTATTTCTAGACATGTACTGAGATGGTAATGCCCATTGGCGGAGGTATCAACGCTACTCTGTTCCCAGTTCCACCTTTTGATCTTAATAGCAGGATCGAGACCTGCAAGAGCTTCTATGGTGTCAGCCCTAGGCCTCATTGGATCACCACCTACTTTGGTGGCCACGTATTTCTCTCTCTCTCTCTCTCTCCAACCAAAGAAAAAACTACTAATTAGGCCTTACATTATTATCAATGAATTAATGAAATTAATTGTGCATGCAGGATATTAAACGGGTTCTAAAGAGGTTTGGTAGCAACATAATATTTTCAAATGGACTCAGAGACCCTTACAGTGTTGCTGGGTAAAAAAAAATGAGAACTTGTTGTATATACTATATAATCCATTTTCTAGCTATCATCAACTTATTTGAATTGAAACGATTGGGTTTTGTTTTGTATCACAGTGTATTGAGAAGCTTATCACACAGCCTTGTCGCCCTAATTACTAAACAAGGTATATCTTTCACTTCTTATTTAGTTTTTAATTTGAGGCAAAAATGTGATTATATAGTGTTTGTAATCATCTCGATCGGTCCCCATTCACTTTTTTTTGGGCCAAATGTTTACTATATGGGAAAAGGTTTATTTAAGGCAAAACCTTCCACACATGATGGGATAAAATTGTGTACAGTTTTTGGGTAGATCATATGATAAGACTAGTTTCAGCCAATGTTGTCAGACTCAAATTAGACTAAAAATTGGAAGCTCACTGGGTCACAGTTTTGATGGTTAAACCACCCTCACTGGTTCATCAACTGGTCTGGTCCAGCTTGGATCTAACAAATTAAAACCAGTCCGGATCTTGTTCCAATTGCCATTGCAGCCATACATTTGAAATATCTGGCCATGAAGGGGGTAAGGTAGATGCTTCCAAACAAATTAACACGAATCCGGATCCGATCCCAAATCGTAGTTTCAACAGGATATGGGAGATGTTTCCAATGTACGGTTGCAATGCCTGTTGAAACAGTGTGTTGGGACTAGGTGTGTCAATGGATTCGTTTTGGGTTAGACCCTGTCCAAACTAAAATCAATTTAGATGGATTGGAAGAACCAACAAGTCGTGCATATTGAAATGGACTAATCCTGATTTAATGGTCTAAAGGATTTATTGGATTGGATTGCACCTGGGTTGGCTTGAGCCAATATTTCTGTCCAAATATTAAATTAGACCGATCCAATTATTGTAATGGATTCAATTTAATTTAGATTGGATCGGATTTAACCAAATCCAGTCCAATCAACACCCTAATTGGGACCAGATCCCAATTCAATTAAAACTGGTTTTAGCAAAAGAGGTGATCTCTACTGGAGTCATAGTATATCCTTTAGACCCGCTCCAACATGCGGAACCTTAATTGTACGTTCTTCTCATGAATTTTAATTTGTAAGAAATCTGTATACCTTGTACAGGATCCCATTGCTTGGATTTACTTCCTGCATCACCAGATGACCCACACTGGTTAACCGCGCAACGAAGCCGTGAGGTCCGAATCATTGCCCGATGGATCACACAGTATAAAGCGGATCGGGCTGCAAATCGTTGATGTGTCATCCGTCACGAGAAGATTCCTTATTTACCTTCCTCTGTCTGATGTACGTTTGTTTGATTCTTCTACTTTAGTTTCCCATATTACCTTTCTAAATTCTAATAACAACACTGCTAAGTGCTAAGCCTGCTAGCCCCATCATCCCATGTATTAGGGCATGGCGTCTTGGGTTTAGAAGAACAACCGATGTGCTGTACGCTACCTGCTAGCTATGTTTGAACAATCAGAATATTCAGAATAAGATGTTGAATGCATGTATCAAGTATTGTTCACGTACCAGGTTAAGCTTCTTTTATAATTTTTCCTTTCACTCTTTCGTTTTTCCCCCATAAATCAGACAACCAACAATAAAGGTCTCTCCCTCCATTTAATACAAATCATCAATTTACTTATCCAAAAAAAGGTAAGTGAATTAATATATGTTTTTCTTTTCAAACTTTAAAAGAGTTGCAGATTAAAAGTAAAGGACAAAAGTGTTCTTAACTGTTTTTTTTTTTTTAATTTTAAAAATAAGGAACAACAAGAAACATAAGAGAGATTGAAAGAAAAAAAAGGAAATACTTCAACCCACCTGAATCATTTTTCCCAAATTCTAGCATCCTTTTTTAGAAATAGAAAGGACCAAGAGAAAATTTTCATGGATTTCATGGCATTCTGAAAGACATTCTATAAGCAAATGCAAATGTAATATCATCAAGGTGATGTTTGGCATTTGTTTGGATTATGGCTGAGCTGGCCCTACAAGACACATGGTCGCCCAATTATCACCCTGCCACGTCATCCTAATTCGGCCGAATCGATATATCTTGGCCATGTCAGCCTAGCCCAGCCACGTCGGGCTAGCTCGACTAAGCTACACTATTACTGTGGAACCCCATCTTATTCTTCCAACCACATTGACTACACGTCATATGGATGAGCACATCTACGGGTAAAGAGGAGTAAAGAAGACAACTCGGTTGGGGAATGAGACTCTATCCCGAATACCTCGGCGGCTAACTTCATCCTGACAACCCCAGAAGCCCAGTCCGATCAGGACAAGGATTTTCGGCTATAAAAAGGTACTCCATGCTCAATGTAAGACATCCAACTTCTAAGACCTACACCGCTACTTAGCCCAGATCGGAATCCTTATAGCTCTGCCTGACCATCCTATCACCTCCTACTGACTTGAGCGTCGGAGTTCTTACTCGGGGATAAACTCCTCGGGCCTCTGACTTCTGTTTCCTTGATCATAAGTCTTGAAGCACGGCCTCGTCCTTGTAGCTCGACCCCACCCTACAGGCAAGGACTATCTGATTGCCCTCCTCAGTTCGTGCACCACCTCGGATTGAGCAGCATCAGATTGGCGCCGTATGTAGGAACCAAACAGAAAGCCTTTCCTGAAAATCTCATTCCTCGTCACGCAATCAAGGAAGCGATTGAGATGCCTAAAAACCAGTCTGAACGAGCAACTGGCCATTCCCCGTCTTGGGAGAACCAAGAAGTCCCGCAACCTTCGGCCGTAGTAGATCCAACGCAGTTCCGAGCCATGCAGGAAAAGGTTGATAAAATCTTTGAATTCATACAAACACTAGGGTTTTCCGCACCACCCAACCGTGCGGTCCCCCCTCACGCCCCAACGCGCACGAAGGACGATCCTCAGACCGCGACCGTCAAACATAAGGGGAGAGAGGTCTGAGCATCTGAGGTAAGACACGACCCGAAGGCCCGCCACCACTGCCCATTCCCAAGGACGGGACTACCATAACTAGACATACCAGTCAGTGTGCATCCCCTTCAAAGAAAGGCTCGGCAAAAGGATGCCGCCCTTCATAGTTTCAGTCACCGAGTCAAGCTCGGTCAAGGATCACCCTACACAACCCAAAAGGGAGGCCATAGACACTGCAATCCCAGACAACAGAGATGCCGAAATTAAAAAGCCCCGACAACGTCTAGAAGAGTTAGAGCGCACTTCCACCCATAAGAGTGCAATTCCCGTCGTAAACCAACTTGTGCAGGACATAGTGGACGAGGTACCCCCTATTGGATGGCGAGCCCCCCAATTCGACAAGTACGATGGGAACTCCGACCCTTTCGACCATGTTGCGACACTCAAAGGCCAGATGATGCTACATGGTGCGTCGGAGGGACAGATGTGCAAAGCCCTTGTAACTACAATACAAGGCCCAGCCTTAGCATGGTACTCCTCCCTACCACCGAGGTCTAAAGCATCATGGGCCCAACTAGAGAACTAGTTCCTTGCACAGTTCACAGCTAGTTAGAAGCATTGGAAAACCTCGATCAGCCTTATGCAAACCCAACAGAGGAAGACAGAGTCCCTTAGAGATTACTTGGAGAGGTTCAACAAAGAAGCACTTCAAGTCAGGGACTTGAATCAATTAGTTGCGGTGACGGCCATACAACACGGACTCTACCCTTCCTCGTTCAACTTCTCCATCTCTAAGAATCCTCCTCAAACGTTGGTTGCGCTAATGAGCCACGCGCAGAAGTATATCAATGCTAAAGAGTCCCAGGCGCATCTTAGAGACGAGGATGAGAAGCCCAACCAAAAAATGTGAGAGAACAACGAGCGGAAGTCCGAGAGGTCGGACAAAGACCACAAGAGGCAAGATCGCCGGACCGACCATAGACCTCGCACCCCTTCGTCGACCTATCGGAACTTCACGATGCTTAATGTTCCACAGTCTGAAGTTCTGATGCAAATCCGTGACCACAATTATGTCAGGTGGCCGGAGAAGATGAAGACGCAAAGTAACAAGAGGAACCGAGACAAATATTGCGAGTTCCACAAGGACCACGACCACGATACGGAGGTCGACGACCGATGTCACGGGAGGAGGCACGACACATCTATTACCTTCACTGACGATGACCTCCGAGGTGTCCAAACACCGCATGACGATGCCTTGGTCATCACAGTCGAAGTGGCCAATTTCGAGCTACGACGGATCCTTATGAACACAGGGAGTTCTGCCAATGTACTATTTGAAGATGCATTCGAAAAGCTTGGCATTGCTAGATCGGAGAGTTCCTCCAGCCCACTAGGAGGATAAATCTTCCCCTCTTGATCGGAGACGTTGACATGACTGCGACGGCAATGGTAGACTTCATTGTGGTGCGCTGCCCCTCCTCTTACAACGTGATCCTCGACAGGCCGACCCTCAATGCTCTGTAGGCCATAGTCTCAACATACCACATCGCCATAAAATTTCCTACCAAATATGGCATAGGGGTGGCACGCGAGGACCAGAAAACAACGTGACATTGCTATCAGTTATCCTGCCGAGGACCACGTCCAGTGATTGAGACATTGATGGCGAAAGCATAGGACCTGCATGACGAAGTGAAGGTGCAACGTGGCCAACCTGTGGAAGACCTCATCTAGGTCTCCCTATTTGAGGAAGACCCTGAAAAGATGGTCCAAGTTGGCTCCCTACTAAGTGACTACCTCCGAGAGGAACTTGTTTGACTACTGGGGAATTATTCTAACATGTTTGCTTGGTTAGCAGAGGACATGATTGGAATCGATCCCAAAATTATCACACATCGATTGAACGTCGACCCCCGTTACTGACCTGTGAAGCAGAAGAAGAGAAAATTCGCCTCAGAGTGGTGGCAACTTCACTCTTTCGGTTTTTCCCCCCAAAATCAGACAACCAACAATAAAGGTCTCTCCCTCCAATAGTCTGGCCCAAGGCCACGCAATAGTCTGGATGAGCATTCCCCCTCCTCGATAGAACTGGGGTCCACATGCTTCACTGGGCCTTGTTCCATTGGAACCTGATTTCTCATTTTAATTTGCTTAGTATTATGAACAATAATCATATTTCTCATTTTAAACAGTTGTTTTAGCATTTGTGTTGCATTTGATGATAAAAGCATCAAGCAAAACCCAAGCAAATTTGCACATGAAATTAAAGTTATTATTTCAAACACTTTTGCACCCAAAATGGAAGCAAACTTTGCAAATAGACTTGGTCAATGCAGAATAGACTGGTTCTAGAATATGTAGAAAATTAATTCAGCCAATCAAAGTCAATATATATCATCAATCATCATCCGTTAATAGAATATGGAGAAAATTAAAGAACCCTTGGATGTGGACTCCAAGAACTGTTTTATGGCTTCTCTTGAAACTGACTATGCTTGGAGTTGCTCCTTTGTCATGGGAAAAAAAAAAAAAGAAAAAAGTATTGTGGCACGGTCTTCTGTTGAAGCTGAATATAACGCTATCGTCACCGCAGCTAGCGAGATTTTATGGCTTTGACATGTTCTTCGAAACTTTGGTCTATCCATTTCTGCTTCAATGACACTCTATTGTGACAGTCAGGTTGCTATCAACCTCGCCACATATCTTATCTTTCATGATTGAATAAAACACATCGATATTAATTGTCATTTTGTCCGAGAACATGTTCTATCCAAAGGCACTTCAGCTTCATCACATATCCACGTCTTCTTAGCTTGCCGATCTGCTCACCAAAGCCTTCAGCGCTGACCGATTTGATTATTCAATGAATCGTGTTATTTCATTATTCTTGACATCCATTTATAGATACAGAATTTGTTATCCACATCAGCAAGGTCAGTTATAACCATACATAAGTCATAGATACATTTATTAGTTAACATTTTACAAAAGATGGTTAACTAGAATTTGGCCTTGGAAGAACAGGACTCTTTACGGTCTACCTGTGTCTAGGGCCTTTGGACTTGCCACACGTTCCATAGATTTAAACCCATCGTTGAATTGATGAGACCAGTTTAAAACACTACATGGTGGAACCATTCAATAATGGACTTGATCCCTTTGACATGAGGCAAGTTACAAAGGCTCTAGCAGTCAAAATCTAGAGACCCCTCAATAAATGTGTACAATCCATGACTCCAATGTTTGAAATAAAAACAAAACATCACATAAACTGACTGGTGTGTTTGGTTTAAACACTTGCATGCTCATATGTGAAAAACTTTTTTGCTTAGGCTTAATTTCAAAAGAATACAAATACAAATAAGTACAGTACAAAATACATACAAAATATAAGGTTTTTGTTATGGTCCCGCACGTAGGATCCCGTCACGGGTCGGTCCACGGTGCGAAAGCCCTGCTTCCCCTTGTGCCTTCCCTTGCTTGCAGACCCGATTACGGAAACTGAATGG